CCCCCTCCCCGGGAAAGCCCTTGGGTGACGCCCGTGATTGGCAAGGAACGGAGTCATCCCAGTGGATACATTCTCCGCGTTATTGTAAGCAAACTCTGCCAGGGCTAGTTTGTCTACCCAATCGTTCTGCTTTTGACTCATAACACCGCAAATACTGTTGCAAAACAGCATTCGCTCTCTCCGCTTGCCCATTGGTCTCGGGGTGCCTCGCTGTAGTGAAACTCACCTCCACCTGCAGCAAGCCCATGAGCTTGCAACAAAAACGTGAGGTGAATTGAGTCCCCCTGTCCGAAACCACACAGGCAGGTATCCCATGCAACCTAAACACATGCTCTACAAACAACTTGGCTGTTTGCGAACAGGCCACGAAATGGCACATTTTGGTTAGAAGATCCACCACCACCATGATAGCGGTCTTACCCTTACATCTGGGCAGATCAGTGATAAAATCCACCCCCACCACCTCCCATGGCTTTCCTGGTGTGGGCAACGGTTCCAGCAAACCCGCTGGGGCCGCCCTCTCCCCCTTGGCCCTCTGGCAAGTGGCACACCCTCACACATATTCCTTTACATCCTCTCGCACTCTGGGCCACCAAAATTCCCGGGTGACCAGTAACATGGTCTTATATTGTCCAAAATGCCCTGCCGTGCAGCTGTTGTGGAGTTGCTTGAGAATTCTGCCCCTAAGGTTTTCACCTGGAACATACAAGGCCCCCCGATGGTACAGGAGCCCCCCTTTCATTTCGAAACCCCCCTTGGCACCCCCTTTCTCTCTTAACTCCCCCATCTTTTGTCTGGCAAAGTCATCGTCTCTGAGCAGTTGCATTAGTTCGTTGTCCTTGACCAACGTCCCCCCACACATCCATTAGCTCTCGGGGAACATCAGTCTGGCCACCGGAGGCCCTTCTCCCGCCATATACTCCGGTTTCCGTGACAGCGCATCCGCCCTCGCATTCTGCTCTCCTGGCACATATTGGATCTTAAAGTTAAAGTTGGCAAAGAACTCCACCCATCTTATCTGTCTCTGGCACAACACCCGTGCCGTACGCCAGTACTCCAAATTTTTGTGGTCTGTGCACACCAGAATTTGGTGCTTCGCCCCAATCAGGAAGTGCCGCCATTGTTTGAACGCAGCGACGATCGCAAGCAATTCTTTATCATAGATGGTGTAGTTTTGCTCCGATTTATTCAGTTTCCGCGGAAAAAAAGCACACGGCCGCCACTCCCCTTTTTGATCTGGCTGTAGCAGCACTGCCCCTATCGCCCGATCAGACGCATCTGTCTCCACACGCAGTGGTTGAGCGGGGTCGACGTGGATCAGTTGCTCCTCTGAAGCGAAGACCCTCTTAAGCTTCTCAAACCCTTCTTGGGCCGCCTGCGTCCATCGAAACTTTTTCTTGGCACTGAGACAGTCCGTTATGGGCGCCATCAGTTTCGCGAAACCCTTGATGAATTTCCTGTAGAAATTGCTGAAACCCAGGAAACGCTGAACATCTTTCCTGGTCTTGGGGCTCTCCCATTCCACTACCGCCTTCACCTTCTCCGGATCCATGGCCAAACCCTTGTCCGACAGCCGGTACCCCAGGAATTCGACTTCTTTCGCGTGGAACTGACACTTCTCCAGCTTAACCCACAAGCGATGCTCCTTAAGTTTGCTCAGGACCTGACGTACATCCTTCACGTGCTGTTTCTCGTCTTTGGAGTACACTAGCAAGTCGTCCAAAAAACAAACGCAGTTCCGGTACAGCAACGGCCCTAGTACGTGCTGCATGAAGGCTTGGAAACAGGGACTTCCGCACTGCAAACCGAAAGGCATGACGAGATACTCAAACGCCCCCAGCGGGGTGAACATGGTGGTCTTCCACTCATCACCCTCTTGCACTCGGATGAGGTTGTACGCCCCCCGGAGGTCCAACTTGGTGAAAATCTTCCCTTTCCGCACCCGGGCCAGAACATCGTCTATCCTCGGCATTGGGAAAGCCACGGGTTCCATCAGGCTGTTCAGGAACCTAAAGTCCACTACAAGCCTCCTCTCATTAGTCGATTTCTTGTCCACAAAGAACACGGGGCTCCCACCTGCCGCCTTGGATTCCCTGATGAATCCCCTTCTTAGATTTTTCTCAATAAAATCCTTCAGGTCCTTGATCTTTTTTTTTTTTTTAAATAGTATTTATTAAGGTTTTAAGTTTACAAAAAGGCAAAAGAAAAAACACCAAATTAAACAATAACAAAACAACAAATCACAATAAAAAACAGAAAAATAGAAACAATTAAAAACAAAAGGAAAAAGGAAAAAGGAAAAAACAAATCAGCCTTCCCATAACTTATCTTTCATTTGCTTGTTTCCCTGACCTCCTCACACCTCCCTTTTTTGTATTCTAAGTCAATTATCCATTTCAGCAAATCCTTTCCCTCTCTTCAAAATTTTTATCCTGAAAATTTATCTTGATCTTAATATAAGTTTACTTCCCTCTTTTCACCAATTAACAGTCTGTTTTTCTTAAATCTTTGATACATTTTTGCTAAAATCACATAGATTCATTCCAACATCATTCTAACATTCATTAATTTTACAGTGTTTCTGTAAATAGTCTTTAAATTTCTTCCAATCTTCCTCCACCGACTCTTCTCCCTGGTCTCGGATTCTGCCAGTCATTTCCGCCAGTTCCATATAGTCTATCACCTTCATCTGCCATTCTTCCAGAGTGGGTAGATCTTGTGTCTTCCAATACTTTGCAATAAGTATTCTTGCTGCTGTTGTGGCATACATAAAGAAAGTTCTGTCCTTCTTTGGCACCAATTGGCCGACCATGCCCAGGAGAAAGGCCTCTGGTTTCTTCAGAAAGGTATATTTAAATACCTTTTTCATTTTGTTATAGATCATCTCCCAGAAAGCCTTAATCCTTGGGCATGTCCACCAAAGGTGAAAGAATGTACTCTTTACATTTCCAACATTTATTTTCGGGCAAATGATAAATTTTTGCAAGCTTGACTGGTGTCATGTACCACCTGTATATAATTTACATTATATTCTCTCTTAAGGCATTACATGCCGTGAACTTCATACCTGTGGTCCATAACTGTTCCCAGTCAGCCATCATAATGTTATGTCCAACATCTTGTGCCCATTTAATCATAACAGATTTTACCGTTTCATCCTGAGTATTCCATTTCAACAGCAAATTATACATTCTTGACAAATTCTTAGTTTTGGAGTCTAACAGTTCTGTTTCCAATTTTGATTTTTCCACCTGGAAGCCAATTTTTTTATCCAAATTATATGCCTCCAGTATCTGATAATAATGAAGCCAATCTCGCCCTCTATTTTTTAATTTTTCAAAACTCTGCAGTTTTAATCTGTCTCCCTCTTGTTCCAAAATTTCCCAATATTTCGGCCATTTAGCCTCCATATTGAGCTTTTTCTGAGCCTTCGCTTCCATTGGTGACAGCCACCTTGGGGTTTTATTCTCAAGCAAATCCTTATATCTTATCCAAACATTAAACAGTGCTTTTCTGACAATATGGTTTTTTAAACGCTTTATGTGCTTTGACCTTATCATACCACAGATATGCATGCCACCCAGAGACATTATTAAAGCCTTCTAAGTCCAACACATCAGTGTTCTCAAGAAGCATCCATTCTCTCAGCCAGCAAAAAGCGGCTGATTCATAATAAAGTTTTAAGTCTGGCAGGGCAAATCCACCTCTTTCCTTAGCGTCAGTTAATATCTTAAATTTTATTCGAGGTTTCTTGCCCTGCCAGACAAATCTGGAGATATCTCTCTGCCACTTCTTGAAACACTCCATTTTATCCAATATTTGCAATGTTTGAAACAAAAACAACATCCTTGGCAATACATTCATCTTTATTACAGCAATTCGGCCTAGCAATGATAACTTCAGATTTGACCATATTTCTAGATCCTTTTTCACTTCCGTCCAACATTTTTCATAGTTATCCTTAAACAGATTCACATTCTTAGCAGTCATGTTGACCCCTAGGTATTTCACTTTCTTAACCAATGTTTTGTTAGGATATTTCCGTTCCACCTTAAAAGGGAGCAGGCTTTGTGAGTCAGAGTCTGCGTATTTCCTGTTCACAGGATGTTTATGTTTTCTGTTGCTTTCGTTTTCTCTCTTGTGTCGCAGACACTAAAGCAGGCAGTCAAGTTTTTCTGTGTTCTGATCAACGCTGAATAAACTTGTAAATAATGCTCTCCTGATTGCAACTTTTGCTGTGACTAATTGCTGATAGAGCGTGCATGAGCTCTGGAATGTGGCAAGAAATCTTCTAGAAACTCATGTCGCTAATTGATGATACTGCGTGCCTACGGGAGGTCGATGGATCGTCCGGCAGACGGCTTGGGGCCATGATGGACTTTATCTCCCTGGCAGTATCCCAACAACAGGTTTCGGGCCCAGATTCACAGCACTTACAGGAGAGTAAGACTGCGACAGACTGCTGAAAGGTATGTGGAGGAAAAGCGAAAGTGAGGCTTTTCGTTGCCGTGGCAAAGTCCCTTTGATCTCCGGCAGATTAATGGATCTGGGAGACACGCCAAAGGCTTCGTGATTAATGAGCTGCTGAGATAAGACGTCTTTGAAGGCATAAAGATTCACGGCTCAAGTAGAAACCTGGAATGGAGTTTTTCCAGGCTTCTGAGGCTGCTGCGTGCCCAAAGTTGAATCGGCACAATTATGGGACCTGGGCTGAATGGTGTGAGAGTTTGCTGTGTCAGTTTGGAGTGTGGCATACTGTGTGTGAGGCCCCTCCAGTTCCTCTGACAGAAAGATGGGAGTCCGAAAATTTGAGGGCGATAGACATAATCGTCTTGTCTGTCTCTCTGGAGGACATAAAGACGCTTGCTGGCAATCTGACTGCACGTAATATGTGGCATGCTTTGAAAGTAGCCCACCTGCCAGTCATCCCAGCCCAGAGTTTGACTGCATCGGAGGTCCTGGCTGTTTCCCAGAATGCGAGTGAATGCAGGGTTGCTGAGGGCACCGGTTGCAAGCTGCAGGGGGAGCTGACTGTCACGTCATCCCAGGCAGCATTCCAGCCTCCAGGGGGAGCCAAGGAGTCGGCAGCTGAGAGCTCTGTTTCTCATGGGAACCAAGGTCATCGCCTTTGCAGAGGCCGGAAAAGCAAAGGTAAACAGAGGCAGACGCCTGCAGATGGCCAGAAGCAGAGGGAGGGTGAAGAGCCCACGCCAGAGGAAAACAAGGTTTTGTTTGCTGGCAAAGCTTCACCAAAGGCTAAAGGCAAGTCTGATGGCCAGGAGCAGGGGGGCAAGCTGCAAAAGCCCACGCCGGTGGAAAACAAGGTTTTGCTTGCTGCAAAAGCTGCTCCAAAGGCCAAGGCCAGGTTTGTTGTTGATTCAGGCTGTACCCGCCATGTGTCGAAAGACCGCCATCTCTTTATCTCCTTCAAGCCTCAAGAAGGTGAGATCCACCTGGCTGACGGAAAGCCGTAGCGAAGTGCAGGAGAAGGGACTGTGAAACTGGCAAGTCTGCACACTACCGTCAAAGATGTACTATATGTTCCAGGTGCTGCAGACAATTTGCTCAGTGTCCCACAGCTGACTGGGCGTGGTTTTGAGATTTCCTTCAAGAGGAGCGTCTGTGTCATCAGAAAAGGCAAAGAGGACATTTTGCATGCAAAGTTTGTGGATGGCTTGTTCTGTATAACTTATGACGACAATGGTGCTGTTGTGTCTAATGCTGATTCTTGTTGTGTTGCACAAACTAACAAAGTTCTTCATGCAGGATGCATTCATGATGCACACAGAAGATTTTGTCACATGTCTTGGCAGGCGCTGGCCAAGATGCCAGAGATGGTTGAGGGTTTGAACATCAAACCCTGTAAGTTTCACATGAAATGTGTATCTTGTGCAGAGAACAAGGTGAAGGTTGCTCCAAAAGGCAAGGAGTCTAGCAGGCAGGCTTCCAAACCCTACCAGCTAGTGCACGCAGACCTGGTTGGTCCACTTGCGCCCTCTTTGGGTGGAGCAAGGTACTTCATGGTTCTAATTGATTCTTTTTCCAGGTACATTCATGTGTTTATGCTCGAGCAGAAATCGCAAGCGTTTCCTAAGTTCAAGGCATTCTGTGCTTGGTTGGACAATGTTCATGGTAAACACATTGGCTGTCTGTTTACTGATCAAGGCGGGGAGTTCACTTCTCAGCAGTTTGAAGCTTTCCTGACTGAGAAGGGAATCCAGCATAGCCTCTCAAGTCCTGGATCTCCATGGGAGATTTGTGAGCAAGCAAAGCAAACGTTGCTGCAAGGACTGAAAACATTGTTGCATGATGCCAATCTCCTGAGAAGTTTTGGGGGGAGTCTTTGAACTCGTTTGTTTACACTTTTAATCGCAGATTGTCATCACCTATTGGTTGTACCCCCTATGAGAAGATGTTTGGTAAGAAACCCAACATCAAGCACATGAGAATCTTTGGTTCTGACATGTGGGTACACACCCCACAGAGCAACAAGCTTGGGAAGCGTGGGGCACATGGTTTGTTCATGGGGTACGACAAAGGTGCATACAGGGTGTGGATGACCGACTCTACGGCCAGTCAGTGCACAAACAGTGTTGAGTACAATCCTAAGTGGGGGGAAAATGTGGGAATTTTCCAGAGTTACCCAGAGGAGGATGAAGGTGATGTGCAAAGAAGCAGCTAAAGCTGAGGAAGCTGCTGAGGATGATGATGATGATGATGATCAGAGTTCGGATTCCAGTTCAGTGGGCGGCGCTGCTGCTGGTGTCAGTGACAGTGATGACACAGCAGACTACAAGAGCGCAAAGGCCTCAGTCAGACCATCTGATGCGTCTGACAATGAACTGGAAGAACCACTGTTCACCATTGGTCACTTCTCTCCTAAGAAGGAGGAGATGAGTCCAGAAGACTTGCGTCTAGTACGCAGATCTGAGAGAGCCACGAAGGGCAGACCTCCAAAGAGATTTGCTGATGAGTTTGCTAAGACAGCAACTGCTGTTCTTAGTAGCTCAGAGAAGGTGTGGGAACCTTCAAGCTTCAAAGAGGTTCAGGAGTTAACCTCTAAAGATGCTGAGCCTTGGCTAAATGCCATGAAGGCTGAAGTTGATTCCTTGAATAGGAACCAAACTTGGGAACTGGTACCGGTAGTCCCAGGAATGAGACTGGTTGGCAGCAAATGGGTCTTCAAGGCCAAGACAGACCAGAATGGCAAGGTTGTCAGACACAAAGCCAGATTGGTTGCCAGAGGTTTTTCACAGGTACCAGGACAGGATTACCACGAGACCTACTCACCCACCGTCAAATATGAGAGCATTCGGCTGATGCTCAAGATTGCTGCGGAAGAAAAACTGCATGTTTCCCATCATGACATTAATACAGCTTTTTTGTACGAAAGTCTGGAGGAGGAGCTGTTTATGCTTCCACCTGATGGGATGCAGATACAGAAGGGAATGGTCTGTAAACTGCGGAAATCCTTATATGGTCTCAAGCAGAGTGCCAGGTGTTGGAACACAAAACTCACTGAGACGTTGCTTTCTCTAGGTTTTCACCAGGGCAAAGCTGATCCATGTGTGTTTGTCAAGGAGGAGGGGCAAAACAAACTGTATTGTTTATGTTTTGTTGATGATCTTCTGATGTTTTGGAAGAATCAGGCTTTGTACCAAAGCACCCTAGCTCAGCTGAAGGAGCACTTTGACATGAAGGATCTTGGTGAGGTATCCAACTATCTTTCTCTGCAGGTGGAGAGGGACCAAGCAGGTAATTTTCTGGTACACCAAACACAGAAAATTGCTGATGTATTAACCAGGTTGAATTTGGTTGATGCAAACCCAGCAGACACACCGATGGTGACAGGTTACCAGGTAGACAGTACTGCTGAAGCGTTTTCTGACACAACGCTGTACAGATGCATTCTAGGCAAGTTGAATTTCATTGCTAGATGCTCAAGACCTGACATAGCTGTAAGCTGTAACCTGCTTAGCAGACATGCCAACAATCCTACTGTTCAGGATTGGAAAGCTCTGAAGCGCATAGCCCGCTATTTGAAAGGGACTTTGCACTACAGGCTGAGGTTCACCAGTCAGAAGACTGGAGGTCTTGAAATCTTTGCAGATGCAAGTTTTGGAAGTGACACCACGGATGGTACAAGCACTTCTGGAGTATGCTACATGTACAACCACTGCCTGTTTGACTGGTTGTGCAAGAAGCAGACGACAGTGAGCCTAAGTTCCTGTGAAGCAGAACTCAATGCTCTGTCATTTTCACTCATGGATTGTGAATGGTTGATGCAACTGTTTAAGGACATCGGAGTTTCTGTGAAATGTCCTGTACAAGTGTATCAAGACAATAGATCGTGTTTGGCTTTGCTGAACTCGGAGAGTTGCAAGCAAAGGACCAAGTACTTGCAGATTAAGCTACATCGTGCAAGAGAGTGTATTCAGAAAGGACTCATTCAGGTGTCCTACATGCCAGGAAATGAAATTCCTGCTGATCTGTTGTCTAAGGTTGTTAACAGAGAACAACTTAAGGTTTATGTACAAAGGTTGCAATTGGGTTGAACCACAGGTACTACAGGTTACACGGAAAGGGGAGGATGTTAGGATATTTCCGTTCCACCTTAAAAGGGAGCAGGCTTTGTGAGTCAGAGTCTGCGTATTTCCTGTTCACAGGATGTTTATGTTTTCTGTTGCTTTCGTTTTCTCTCTTGTGTCGCAGACACTAAAGCAGGCAGTCACGTTTTTCTGTGTTCTGATCAACGCTGAATAAACTTGTAAATAATGCTCTCCTGATTGCAACTTTTGGCTGTGACTATCTGCTGATAGAGTGTGCATGAGCTCTGGAATGTGGCAAGAAATCTTCTAGAAACTCATGTCGCTAATTGATGATACTGCGTGCCTACGGGAGGTCGATGGATCGTCCGGCAGACGGCTTGGGGCCATGATGGACTTTATCTCCCTGGCAGTATCCCAACATGTTTATCCTGTCTCCTTCTGAAACCTTTCTCTCTCCGTCACTGTTAAATTTTTCTCTAAAACTTTAGTTTTCATCTTATTCAACTTAAATCCCGCTACTTGTCCAAATTCTTGGATCAGTTCCAGTACTCTTTTGGTACTAGATTCTGGCTCCTGTAATGTCAATACCAGATCATCAACAAATGCTTTCAGTTTGTACTGTTTAGCTCCAACTTGTATACCTTTAACTGTTTGGTCCCTCCTAATCATGTTTAAAAGAACTTCCAGGACCGATATAAAAAGCAATGGAGAGATTGGGCAACCTTGTCGTGTTCCTTTCTCTATCTTAAATTCTTCTGTCACTACACTGTTCACAATTAATTTAGCCTTTTGTTCTGAATAAATTGCACCTATACCATTTTCAAAACCTTGACCAACCCCCATCCCCTGTAGATTTTTCTTCATAAAACTCCAAGAAATATTGTCAAAGGCTTTCTCCGCGTCCACAAATATCAAAACTGCTTTAGTATTAATATTCACTTGTAACTTTTCTAGAATGTTAATTATATTCCTCATGTTGTCAGACAAGTGTCTGCCCGGGAGAAAACCGGCTTGGTCTTTATGGATTTCTTCTACTAGTACCTTTTTTAATCTTTTAGCCAAAATATCTGCAAAAATTTTGTAATCCACATTAAGCAAAGATATGGGGCGGTAGTTCTTAAGCTGTGTCTTCTCAGACTCTACTTTCGGTATAAGTGTAATGTAAGCTTCCTTCCACGACTCTGGCGCCTTTTTCCCTTCCAATATTCCATTACAAACTTCTTTTAATGGCTGTATTATCCATTCTTTCTTTCTTTTCTTTTTTTTAATAATTTTTTATTAAGGTTTTAAACAAACAAAAAAGAAGAACAACACACACAAAAAACAATACAAAACTTAACAATAAAAACACAAAACATAACAATTAAAAACAAACTCTCTTTTCCATTTCCAATTTTAAATTACTTATTTTCTGGACTTCCTCATACCTCCCTCTTTTGTATTCCAATCCACATTATTTGTCCAGCAGTTTCTTTTCCACTTTTTTAATCCCAATCTTTAATTTAATAAAACGTTAAAATATATAACTTCAACTTTTTAAGACCTAATCCTTGATCTTAATGTCATATAGCTTTAAATTTTTCCCTTTTATTATCAAATTTCCATTTCTTTAAACATCTTTAATCTTGATCTTTAATCTTAATCTATCCTTAACTTTAACCTGTACAGCTGGAAACCACTTGTTTTCAGTCCAACATCACTCTAACATTCCTTAATTTTGCAGTGTTTCTGAAGATAGTCTTTGAATTTCTTCCAGTCTTCCTCCATCGACTCTTCTCCCTGGTCACGGATTCTACCAGTCATTTCCGCCAATTCCATATAGTCCATAAGTTTCATCTGCCATTCCTCCAGCGTGGGAAGTT